CCTCCCTCTTAATGAAATCAAGATTTAGAAAAAGCTCTAATGATAGAATTTCATAGCCTTGACCTTTAAACCAAAAAAAATGGGGGGGTGGTAGGGAGCCTCTACTTCTTTGCCAAATCTGAAACTCTGTGTACTATTTCACAGCACGCCAATGAATGGACAAGTATATGCCTTTTTTTAAACCACACTGAAACATATAATCTTTATTCTGACAATGAATTCTTAAGTCAAAAGCTACCTTTCCTTTTTGCTTCCTAATGTTTCTCAATGAGAACGGAGACAATGGTAAGGATCTGTCTAAAACTCTTAAGCGTCTGTGGGAAGGGGTCCCGTGTTAGGCACATAGAAGGTACTGGATAAGCTTGAACTGAAACTGCACCTGAGTTGCTTGTCCAGAGAACGTCGCCAGTGTGGAACCAAAACAGGAAGGGAAAGCACAGACTTAGTGGAATCCTTTAAACTCTCTTCCTCCATTCCAAACCTATGTTGTTCTTCATAGATACGGCACCATAGGCAGAGTCATAGATAATCTGGACGTAGGGCAGTTAGCCCCTTCCCTTTGATAGTCACATCATCTAACAAACCTTCAGTCCAAACATACAAAGAGGAGGCCAGCCCCGAGGAGCCCCTGGCTGTGGCACTTGAGTTATCTTTCAGCAGGTGTAGCCATTCCGAGCCAGAAAGGCCCGGAGGATGAAGAGACAGCACCTCAGGCGGCCTTGCCAGGAGCCACCAGGTTTCATCCTGGCCTGACCCAGAAAAATCTTATGGAAGAGAACAAGAGGCCCAAGAGCTCTCTGATCTGCTGTCAACCAGCTGCAGGCGGGAGACTGCCAAAGCACTGCAGTGACTAGGCAGCGCCCCACAGAGCCGTCTGGGAGGGGATTACCAGCCTGATCCCCGGTCTTCAGAGCCAGAAATGACTCAAACTTCACAAACAGCAAAGGCCTGCCAGGGAGGGTGACAATGAGCACTGGAGAGGGTTTTCTTGCCCTTGTTGCTGTCTCCACGGCCCCCCACCCCCCTCGCTGCTGTGGCAGAGATTCTGGACAGTGTGCAGCCTGTGAGGTAATCTGAATTCCTTGGCAACCAGCAAGTACCTGAATTCTTTCAAAACCACAGGAATCCAGCAGAGAAAAGGTAAATATCCCTGCGGAGCCAGTGTTAATTAGCAAGGAAGGCTACTGAAGAAGGAACTGGGGGTGGGGAAGAAGGGAAAGGCATTACAAATGCTTGGGGGTCTTTTCTGAATTTCCACTCAATAATACGGCTAAAGCAGAAGAAAGGCAGGTCCTGAGTGGGACCTTCTCACTGTCCTCGCCTCCCACCTTCCAGTGTGGATGGGAGCCTCCAGTTCTGTGGATGGGCACCTTCATTTCCCCCAGGTTGCCAGTGCTACCTATCTTTGGGTGTCTGACAACACATTTGGTGTTCAAGTCAATTTTGTTTTAATTTCTTTTAACTTTTTCTTTTTCCTGTTGCAGTGAAAATTTGGCTATTAACTCTGTCTCAAAAAAGGCCTCATCAAATCGTTCAGACCACATATTGGATCCACCTAAAACTGTAAAATCCAGGACAAAGTCTTTTTGGATCCCACCTCTGACAAGAAAAAAGCATCTACACCACTTTGGTAGAGAATGGTACCCCTCTCTGGAAGCTGAGTGTCCCCTGCTGGTGCAAAGTAGGAACACACTTGTCAAACTCAAAAGTAGGGTGGAACTTTGGGGCAAAAATGCTGGGCCCAAATACGAGGAACACAATTTTTTTCTAAACAGCTCCGTATTTCGCCCAGGTATAAGAAAATAATGACAGTTTTCCTGTGTTAATAAAACAACAAGGACAATTGGAAATTATTAATCTAAAAACAAACGATTTCTGGTCTTTTTCTTAGTAAGTTTAAAAAGGTCAAGAACTGACACAAAATATTTAGTTCACAAAACAGTCCTATGAAATGAACTTAATCTTTATGTCTCCTAACCATTAATTTGAGGCCCAAAACAGAAGTGACACGGGAGAAGGCCCTTCTTTTCTAAAGAGGAAGCCAATTATATTTGCTGCCAGTGCTTTCTGTTTAGGAAAAATTACGGTTTTCCTTGTTGACCCTCAAAGTAAAATGGCCCACTGATCTCATCCTAAACTGATTATCTTCAGTAATGTCTACAGCAAACACACATGACCCAAAATTACCAGAGGCTGCAGATCTGGAGACGCTATAGACTATTGTTGAATGTAATGACACAGTTGAGCAGATTCTGAGGATTAAAAAGCAGCAGATGAATGCCAAGATACATAGTGAGTTAAGACACAGGAACTTGGGGGCGCCTGGGTGGCTCAGTCGTTAAGTGTCTGCCTTCGGCTCAGGTCATGATCCCAGGGTCCTGGGATCGAGTCCCGCTTCGGGCTCCCTGCTCGGCGGGAAGCCTGCTTCTCCCTCTCCCACTCCCCCTGCTTGTGTTCCTTCTCTTGCTGTGTCTCTCTCTGTCAAATAAATAAAAATCTTTATAAAAAAAAAAAAAGACACAGGAACTTGGGCACATGGAAGTTCCTGTGTACAGCAGGGCAGCTGCGCAGGACTCACTAATAGCCTGTCCTACTGTACCATCCTCGTGTAAAGCGTTGATATTCACCTATTCTTTTAGATTAACTGAGCCAAAGCCCTGAACAGTCCTATGATTTGGTTCAATTTGGTCTGAGTTTTTTAAAAACTGTCTTCCAAATTATTCTGGGGAAAAAAAAAAAAAAGCATCCATTAAAAAAAAAGTACACACACACCCACACATACACACACTCAGTTCCTGCTGGAGGCAAGAGAAGACAGTTACTCAATTCAGTGGATTCTGACTTCCAACACACATCCAGTAGCCAAAGCATTCGCATATCTGTAGTAAATTCTATAATGAATGTTGTAGTGCTCTCATTTCATAGCTGAACCACTGAGGCCTTAAAACTATGCTAAATTTTACCAACAGAGAGGGCTATTGATACCGTGAGTGCAATGCCTTTGGAATAATACACAGAACATGCTGGTATGATATCCTTGAGAAACAGCGGGTGTAACCTTGAGGTCTTTTCCCTATTCAAGAAGTTCAATTTGTGGCAGGACATAATCAGTTCCTGAGAAGAGCACAGGAGGCAAGATGGGGTGAGGATGGAGGGAAGGAAGGGCTGGAGAAGCTCATGCTAGACAAGAGGGAAAGCTCAGGTATCTCAGCTTACAAAATGGAAAATCCTCAGCACCTTATACCCCTGAGCAGAAGGAAAGGGTATCTTTTACCTTCTTTTTGATCTACATAGTATGGGGACTCAGCTTTTAAACCTATACTTCAAAGTCTGAGAGCACATGTGTCTACAAACACGACAGAAAACTGCCCGCCTATGAAAAGCTCATTAGGGCTAGGAGGCAGGGTGCTCAAATGTCTGGTTCAGCCGTTTACCTAGAAACTGAGAACGACTTTAGTTTCCCCCTCCTTTGCAAGGAACAAGAGTCCAGAACCATGGAGCTTCGGTAGCCTCCAGTGTTCCTCACGCTCAAACTCAGAAATCTTTTATGACCATGTTTCTGAATGCTGTCGCTGCCACCTAGAGGTGAAGGGGAGACTCACTTCAACCAGCTACAAGCTGGTTAAAGGTGCTCATCCTGATTCTAGTCACAGGATACATCAAAAAATGTGAGTCTATGACAGAATTAAAATAACATTCTAAAATAGCAGCTTCCAGAGGACAATAATTCATGTCAAAGCACCTAAACTTAAATAGGCTTCTTTTAACCATGATATTTCCCATCTTCCAGGTGTATTTTCTAAAATACACAAATACAGACCAGGCTTTTTTAGCTTGTCATGGCTGACTGCAGATGCAAAGTACCTCCTCAACTGCTGTGTCCTATAAGGGCCACTATGCAGAAAAGGGACTTCAGGGCAAGCTAGTTAGAAAATAGATTGATTGATTGATTGATTTTAGATTTTTATTTATTTATTTGACAGAGAGAGAGGGAACACAAGCAGGAGAAGTGGGAGAGGGAGAAGCAGGCTTCCCGCGGAGCAGGGAGCCCGATGTGGGGCTCAATCCCAGGACCCTGGGATCATGACCTGAGCCGAAGGCAGACGCTTAACGACTGAGCCACCCAGCCGCCCCCAGTAAATAGATTTATATATTAGTTTTGTGGGGGAAAAGAACACAAGCACAGCAAAGTTACATATTTATTTTAAACAATGTAAAGGGGCTATGAAAACAATGTCACCTGTAAAATTCTGTGGATGGGGGTGGGAGGGACACTTCAAATTATTATAACTTGAGCTTAATTTTGTAAGTAAGTCACGTTACCTTAAAACCTAAAAAGTACTTCAAGAGAAACAAAATGTATATACAACCACTGTTAAGTGTATTACTTGCAGGTGAAAAAAAAAAAAAAAAGAAGCTAATGTCCCCAAAATACAAGAGGACAACAAAGAGGGCATGAAACAGCTCAGACTATGAGCTCTGGAGTGAGATCCACGAGTTCAAATTCCCACTCCACTACCATCCAGCTGGGAGAGCTCTGAAAAGTGACCAAGTTCCCTCGCCCCTTGAAGCCTGTTTCCCCAACTGCAAAACTGCATCAACTATAAGGTTGTTGTGAACACTGAAATAAATGTCTGGTATATAACAGGTAAATCAATATGGGATTCTTTTTTCCTAGGTCGGTTGTGAAGACCAATGACAATTTATCTTAATACACTAGGGTCATCATAACAATCACCATTGCATGAAAATACAATGTGATCCTGGATCCATGGTGCTGGGAAAGGTGTGTGTTTGCATACAGATAGATGTGTGTTCCTATGTGCAGAGATGCAAGTGAGACTGTAAAGTAACATGACTGATGTTCTGGAATCTGAAGCCCATCTGGGTACACTCTGATTTTCTGAGTTGAGCATAACAGAAAGAAACAGCCTGATCTTAACACACTCGTTAATGGATCCACTCTGAATAAACACCCCTTCCCCCCAAAAGTCTCTTACCTAGCCAATCCTTCTTCATAGAGATAGATAACAAGAGGATCATAGGAAGTCACAAGCACGTAGAGGCGCACATCAAACTTGAAATCTAGGAAAAAAAAATTGGGGTTCATCTGTTTTCTGTTACAGAACGAACAAGGCAATGTAACAAAGAAATATGACAGAAAGAACAGTCCTCCTCTCCCCACAAAACACAGACTGCCTGCACAGCTCGCCCTTTAAGGATAAATAATTACCCATTTAGATAGAGATATATCATATACATACACTGAGAAAGAGAGCTTACATATACAGACTGCGCAGCTCTCACATCGGTGTACTATAAAGCACTTTCTTTTCTAGTCTCTCATTTCATCTTCAAAATAATCCCATGAGGTAGGTGAGGCACCAGCCTCATCTCTAGAGCCACAGCTGCCAAGAATTCCACCCTAGCTTCATAAAGACTTACTAGAGAAGACTGTGAAAATATTCTTTAAAATTAGCAAGATCGAGCCCGACACGGGCCCAATCGCAACTCACCGTCTATAAGCAGGGGGTTGTTAATGTAACGGGAGACCAGGATGTTCTCCTCCAGGGAAATCTGGTTCGGCTATTGAGTAAAGAGAAAGAATAAAAGGACAGAAATCCTAACTCACAATAAGGGAACAGAGTTCTTGACCTTTCAGAAACAATAAGGTGGAAAACTACAACTCTTAAGAAAAGTTTTCCTCCCACCTACCCCTATATTCAACTGGTCAGGTAACACACCATTTATAAACACTATGGGTATCCAATTACAATGGGGGAAAAATATACCACTTCTCACATAATAAAGAGAGCAATAACAGCTTTAAAGATTTATATACATGATATTAAATAGTTACATGCCAAGAAAATAAAAGCTACTCAAAACATAAATAAAAAAGTGCTTTCTCCCAAATGTAAAGTATGATGGAAATTTAAAATACCACCATTATTCTTAAGTAAAGGCTTTCATCAAGTTGCTTAGAGAACTTACAGATCTTTCCCCAGTGGATCCTGGCATTTTCCCTGAGAAATGAAACGATGTTTCATTGATTCATTCAGTTGTACTTCCTATGCTGTTATATATAAAGACTGAACTAGATCTCTTAAAGAGTTTTTCAGTGAAAAATGAGTTTATACAATAAGTAATCACGAGTACTGTTTGATACTGTATAAAGTACTGAGGATCCAGTGAAGACAGATACAATCCCTGCCCTCACAGAGCTTAATCCATACTTCCAAAGAGTTTAATATTTAGGTAAAGTTAAAGTAACACAAGCAGCATATCTGCAAGTGCAAGACGTGAGACTGCACGAGTCCAAGTGCAGACCAGTTAGGTGGATCAGTGGGGGAAGGCCTATTCTGGAAGAGTAGGTACAGAAGTGAGTGCTGAAAGCTACTGAGCACGTGGTGGAAAGGAAAGGAAACTGCCATGGAAAGGTGGCAGACACAGGGTTCAGTAGAAAGGAGAGTAAGCAGATCACTGACCTGGGGCTAAATGACTGACCTGAGGAATAATGAAAGGTATGGTTAGAATATTAGGAGGGAGGGACCCTGGTGGCAAAGGGATTTGAACCCCCGACAAGGGGAGTTTAGCCTGAACGTGGTGGGAAGGAGGAAATGACTGTGGATTCTTAATAGTAAGATTAAAATATATGGAATAGCACAACTCTAAGTGAGATTAGATTAAAAGAAAAATCAGCTGGAAGTCACCACAATCTATACAGGACAAAAGGACTCCAAAAGGGAAGTGACTAAAATAATAATTGTAATGATAATGGCTACAGTAGTAGCAACAAAAATAACTATTAACATTTGCAGGGAAAAAAACGTAATAAATGTACTGAACATTTGCTACATGTCCAGCGTTGTTCTATGTGCTAATTCTTCGCAAGTATTATTTCCTTTAGTCCTCACCGAACCCGGTGAGGTAGGTATATTACCATTCAAATATTAGAGATGAGGAAAGAGTCAGACAGGGTGACAAAGTCACACAGTGACAGAAGAGCACTGGAACCCAGCCAGTTGGCCTCAGAGGCTTAACTCTTAAAGTACTATTCACATCTTTCCCCAAAGTTCTGACCTAAAATACTATCCCCCAAACTCAAAAGACTGTCTTTATAATAATGCATTTGCTACCCCAAATACTACAGTTACCATAAAATAAGGATAATTTTGTGGCCTGTAACATCATGCACAACCACGATGAGCAACTCCAGAGTCAAGATAAAGAGATTCCCTGCTCATCTCCCACTGTTGCATCACACAGACCCGGCGACAGTCAGTGCTGATTCAGACTCATGGACCTGATCGCCCACACCACTTCCGGACTCCCTTACATTTCTTGATCACTTTCTCACAAGTACTATCTCCATTTTGAGTCAGCTTAGTATGTGAGAATTGATGAATCATAGTACAAAGGAGCAAGCCTCAGGCTGTGTTCCAAACCTAAAATTAAACAAATGCAGACCTCTTCCCACTGAGTAACACCTACAGGCTGCAATAGATACATGACCATCCAACCTTCCCCCGAACCAGAGACCACAAATGGTGATGGCCATCCTCCATGACACATCTAATATCCTTGCCCACTTCCTCTTTCCCCTCCCTCATCATACACATTTGTCCCTTGAATTATGCATAATCTTGCACATTATTTAACTTTAATATTTGTTCAATGGTCCGAACCTCTCATTTCTACCTACATCAGGAATTAAATTGTAAGCTCATCAAAGAAAAGAATGGTTTGGGTATAGTTTCTTTGTATAGTGTTACATACTAAGAAGCAACTAATGAAAGCTTTTTGATATTTTCAAGCCTGTTTCCTTTTCATCATTCCCCAACTAACTCATTTCAAATGATTTCAATTCCAAGCTCAAAATGCCCTCCAAAGTATGCTAATGCAAGATCTAAATTGTTGGGAAAGCTGGAAACACATCCATTTTTCTAACTGGACTTTAAGATGAAAGCTCATGGTATCTGTTAAGTTATTATAAGGCAGAATGGTACAGTGGTTAAGAGTGTTAGGCCCTGGAATCAGCTAGACCTGAGTTATAATCTTGACTCTACCACTTACTAAGGAAATAACAGTAACTACCTCGGGTTCTTCTAAAGACTAACTGAGTTTATATTTGGAAGGTACCATGACAGGCACACATTAAATGCTCAAGATATATCAGTTATTACTCTTAGTGCAAACTCAATAGTACCTCTATGGTTCTACTAAGTTCCATAACTCAACAGCCTTCATCATGGCACACCACGTGCCATTTCACTCAGAGCTGCGCACTGCACTAAGTTACAATGAAGATACATTAGCTTAGTATCATTGTTAGTATTAAGAGATAATCCCTATTCCTCAAAAGGTTTTAAGGATTGGCAGCACCTGGCACACAGCAAGGACTCGCTAAATATTTCCTGAATGATGAGAAAAAATAGAGAGCACTTAAGATAACAACGTATAAACAACTAGAAACAAGAGCACTATAAAGAATTATATTCACAAATATGGGGAGTAAATAGAATGACCTAAATATTCTCCTGCTACTTCAAAATCCCAAAGAAAATATTAATATTGTATTTACCGTGGATAATGTGTGAGACAAGGATGACAAAATTTGACCTCCATGATCAAATTTGTACCTTAAGCAGAAAACACGATATCTTTCCCTCAACTTGAATATATTAAACTGGGAAAATACAGCACTTAGTCATGGTTACTGAGGGAGCTGGGGCAAACACAACTCTGCTCCTCTATGCTGTATTTCTAGAGGTAAAGAGCACATCTTAAGAAACCACGTTAGCTGCTAGGCCAAGATACTTCCGTCTTTAAGAGCTCACACTTCTCTCTTCGGTATTTCATAAAAGTAACGCTTTTCCTGTCCTTTATCCTGTTCTTGTAATGGTAAAAGTTGCTATTCGCAGACATTTTCCAAAAGGTTATGACTATTATGGGGAATTTTTAATAAGAGGCCCCCTCCAGTGGGGAAGACAGGGAAAGATGTTTTCATTTGGCCCTCACACCTAACTCCACCCACCCCCCAAGTCCCTCACCCACTCCCGTTAGTTCTGCTCACAGACCCTCCGCCTGAGCCCTCCCTCCCGTGCCCCCCCCCCAACTCAAATCTAAAAGGAAAGCAGGCAGCGGCCTTGGAAAGAGTTACTTCATCCAGTTGGCTAATGGGTCACATATTCCATGGGAAAGGATCCAGGTATGGAAAAGACAGGATGGTGAGGCCTTGTGTGTAAGGACAGAGAGAAGAGTATTAACTACATGGTTTGTAGGTCTGAGTAAAAGGTGATAAAAATTCCAGTTTTTGGAAGGAAATAGGAATATTTTCCCATTATGTCCACATGTTGCCAGCTCTGCTGGTGCCTGCTGGCATCTCCCCAGGCTTCTGTCTGGCACCTCCACCAAATACCTCAAAGAATCAGACTCATTCCAAAGCTTCACTGAGGGGGAGGAGGGAGGCAAAGGGTCCTGCCAAGTACTTTGATCTATGCAGGGGGTCTCTAGGGATTCAGCCCAGGGAGAGGTGGGAGGGAGAAGGAAAGCCTGCCAAACGCATTCTCTGAAGACTTGTCACCCTCTACAAGACTCCATCCAGGGAAGAGTTAGGGCACCGGGTTCTCAGCCCCACCAAGGAAAACTTTAACTTTTCTATTCTTTATGATGTTGGTTTCAAAATAACAAATCACTAGAGCAAAAATGCATTCCAAAAGAAAAACATCCCAGATGAGCTGGAAATAGATCCTATTCTTTTTGACTCATGTCTAAGAAAATAAAAAGCAAACTTGTACCACAGTTGACTTTCAATAGCAATTCCATTTGGCAGCTAAAACCCAAACCCAAACCAGTGCTGTCTGTGAGATTCAAACAACACTGGAGCTCCTGGCATGGAGCTGAAGGAAAAGCTGTCAGACAGGAGCCTTCACACCAAGGTCAGAACAGAAACAAGAAAAGAGAGATCCGAGGCATATGACCAGGGCCTTCTGTCACAAGAGACTCAAGGGCAAAAGGCCTCCAGAGTGACCCAGGACCAGGTAACAGGACTTGTAGTCTGGGCCTCAGGCTCAAGTAGCTCCTGTATCAGAACAAGATCCTGTAAGGTCTGGCCATCAGTAGTTACCAAACAGTTTTCAGTCCAGACTGAATTTAAAGATTTTTCAACGTGAAAGACCTCTCAGAAAGTTAGTTTCTGCACGTGTAGGAAATAGCTCAGACCACGTAAAAGGAGGATTGGGGAATTTTAAAATAGAGCACTTGACCACACACACACACACACACACATATCTACCTCCCCTTCTTCCCTTCCAGAGTCCCACTGGAAGGACAGAGAAGATATTTTTTAAAAGAATAAAATGATAACAAAGTTAGAAAACATTTAAAGGAGCCAATAAGAGACCAAAAGTTGAAGGAAATCCTGAAAGATAGAAAGCAGATGGGATCAGGTTGAGAAAACAGAGCAAAGGAAGGAAAATATCAGAGGTGAGAATGATCTTCTCAAGGAGCCTCTGAGAAGTCCCAAGCTGGCAGGAAACAAACACGAGGAGCAGGAGTGGGCCAAGGAACAAGAATCAGATAATTAATTCTTAATTAATTCAGTGGGCCTCCTCCAATACCCAGAGCTTTGCCCTCAGCATAAAACCTAATGACAATACTCTGAGGAGGACACTTGCGTGGGCACAAAGATCTGACAAAAGAGTGGAATTTGAGGCCACTGTATCCCTACAACAGACAGAGAGAGGAAAAGACAGGAAAGGTAGTGCTGCCCGGAAGGGAAATCACCAACATCTTCTTCTGTATGCACAATAAGGCAGGAGGTGGCAGGAAGAAGCATGCTCCTCACTCACATCCACCTGAGGCGCAGCCTGTCAGTCAACACCATTTGCCCTTGCACAAAACTGAGTTAGCCTTCTGTCCAGGGAGAAACTCCTAGGGAATCAGTCCTATACGACAGTACCTGAAACCCAGGCCAGCTGTCAATTTCAATCATTCTAGCCTTTAGTTCACAAATACACCCAAGGTCACTGACACCGAGAAAACCCAATAGTAGGGGGGAAAAAAGACAATCCCAAGAAAACTCATGAAACAAAGGAGAACTTTTAAAAAACTTTCAACTGATACCCTCACTAAGACCAACAGGCAAAGTGCATCCATCAATCCATTATGCAACAACAGGTTTTTTTAACTAAAAAAAAAAAGGGCAAACAGAAAGTAAGGGTTTCTACAAACTATGACAGCCAAAAGAGAAATACAGTAGATAAAACGAATATTAAACTGGATAAAGCTCAAACTGGTGATCCAGAAAGATCAAGATGGGAGAAAACAGAGAATTTAATATCAGAGAAAAGCTGACATAAAGGAAAGACCCAGAATGCCTCAAAAAAGAGATCTAGAAGCAGAAACAAAGGCAAAAACAAAGGTTCGGGATAATTTTCCCTGAACTAAAGAAAAACACTAGTTTCCAGACTGAATGGGCTGACCAAATGTCCAGGAGTAAGAATGAGAAAAGACCCAAAGTGAAATAATGGTTCAACTTCAGAATTCCAGGGGTGCCTGGCTAGCTCAGTTGGAGAAGCATGTGACTCTCGGTCTTGGGGTCATGAGTTTGAGCCCCACGCTGGGCATAGAGATTACTTAAATAAATAAAACTTAAAAATTCCAAAGCTGTGAGGTTACTATTGAGTTTAAATTTTTTATTCAACTTATAAAGCAAAGAAATGGAATCACAGTTATTGAAGATAGTATAATTTTATAAACTCTTAAAATATAAAAATAATAAAAAGTAATCAAACTTAGACCTGAAATGTGGAAGGGAGGGCAGGAGGTGATGTGAATTCAATACACATCAAACTGGGACTTTGGAAAGTCAAGAAAAGAAACATAAATCAACTGTATTAGATTACAAACCACTGTTAAAAGTCTAGGAAGTAAGACTGGGGTTGAGATTTTATTTGATTTACTCTGTATATGTGGTTCAGCTTATAAACCACTTCTAATGAGGATTTTGTAAAGATTCAAGATACTGATAACTTTTGAAAAAAATAAGGGGATGAGGAGGAGGAAGGAGGAAGAGGGAGGGAGATGCAGAAACAGCATCAAGGATGCCACACCAAACAGGTTAATTTCCTTAATGATCTCGAGGGCAGGGACCCACAATTCTGCTCACAATAGAAACTAAATGTATATGCTACCAATTAATGCTTAACACTGAAGAATTAATCTGACGATATGCCAGAAGTAGAAAAGGAACATCTTTTCTGCTGACACCAAAGGCTGCTCTTCCCTAACATTTGATCGAGTGACTTTTTAGCCACAGAGGAACTGCCGGCATAGGAAGAGGTTACTGCCAGAGTAAGATGAATAGTAGGCAACTCATATCCACCCTCAACTCACATGTCTGAATGCAGATTTCAGAAGGGAACACCTATTCTTAATGAAAAAAAAAAAAAATGATATTAGTAGCTAGGACAAAGGCTGAAACAGGGAAGAATCAATAAGAAGACAGGGTGAGGGGGCGCCAGGCTGGCTCAGTCGGTGGAGCATGTGACTGACTCCTGATCTTGGGATCCTGAGTTCAAGCCCCACACTGGGTGTAAAGCTTGCTTTAAAAAAAAAAAAGAGGAAGAAGAAGAGAGGGTGCCACCTTGCTGCATACTTACATTGTTGATCAGGTAGACACCCCGCCCCCTAGAAGAGGCCACTGGTTTTACTATCCAAGGTCCCCGGTCCTTTGAATATGAATCTGCTCAAAATATTGGGAGATTAGAAGGGGGACAGAGAGAAACAAAGAGAAAGAAAGGACAAGAGTTTATTATCTTAAATTTCAACAATGGTTATCCACTCAGACACCCGAAGCATTTTCCACATTTCCCAAGCGGAGGGCAGCACAGCTAACATACCTGCATTTTTGAACTGGCTTCAAACATGAACACAAAAACAGAGAGGGGCAAGGAAAGGAAGAAGGAGGAGACGGCAAAATTACACATTTCTTCCACCATTTCCCCTCTTTCTTGAATGAGAGGATGAAAACAAAATAAGGCAACTCTCTGATGTTAGTCTAGGACTATCACAAACGGCCTTCAGGAATCTTTTGAGATTCTCGCCTCCGTCAACCAAAGGCCCTGCAGAGGCTCACACTGCAGACAGTGCCAATGGGGGTCGAACACTAGATCACCTGAAATGATAATGTTCCTTAAGCGATTTCTCTTAGCTTGTAAGAAAAAAATCGCCTTACGTCAAGCCATGTGCAAGTGGCACAAGAGGACAATAATTTACAAGGGATTAAAAGGTGCCCTTTACTTCTTTTTTTTTGTACAATAGAGTGACTCAACATTTATATACGTTATGAAATAGCACAATGAGCGCGTTACCATCTGTCACCACATGGAGTTATTACAATATTGACTGTATTCCCTACGCTGTACTTTTCATCTCCGTGACTTGTTTATTTTATAACCGGAAGCTTGTACCTCTTAATCCCCTTCACCTATCTCACCCTCCCCCCACAACTGCCTCCCCTCTGACAGCCACCAGCGTGTTCTCCGTATTGAGGAGTCTTTTCATTTTTGCTTATCTATTTGTCTTGTCTTTTAAGATTCCACACATAAGTGAAATCATACGATATTTGTCTTTCTCTAACTTATTTCACTTAGTACAATATCCTCTAGGTCCATCCATGTTGTCATAAATGGCAAGATTTCATTCTTTTTATGGCAGAGTCATATTCCATTGTGAATATATACCACATCTTTATCCATCATCCATTGATGGACACTTAGGTTGCTTCCAGAATTCGGCTATTGTAAATAATGCAGCAATAAGCACAGGACTGCAAATATCTTTTTGAATTAGTGTTTTCATTTTCTTCCAGTAAATACCGAGAAGTGGAATTGCTGGGTCATATGATATTTCTATTTTAATTTTTTCAGGAACCTCTACACTGTTTTCCATAGTGGCTGAACCAATTTACTTTCCCATCAACAGCACACAAGGGCTCCCTTTCCTCCACATCCTCGCCAATACTTGTCATTTCCTGTCTTTTTGATACTAGACATTCTGCCAGGTGTGAGGTGACATCTCATTGTGGTTTTGATTTGCATTTCCCTGATGATAAGTGATGTTGAGCATCTTTCCACATGTCTGTTCTTGATTTAACCCTCTCCTGTCTCCTCTGGGATCCGTTCCCTTGTTCCTATCTTCAAGCTCGCTCTCCTCTCTAGGGTGCTTCTTCTCTTTTTCTCTCCTTATGATCACATCTTCCTCTAAACTGGCAACTTCCAGAATCTATTACCTTTGGTCAGAATTCAACTCTACCTTTACAACTGCCTGCAAATCACCACATGGAAGCCTCAAATCCATACCCAGTCCCAAATTTCACACTCCTCATCCCTTTCAATAGTTCTTCCTTTACGGTCCTGGTTATACTCTCTGGTTAAAGACATGCTGATGCTCCTAGCTTCTCAGATTCACACCTGTGGAGCCATCTTTGACCCTTGCCTCACTACTCACAGCCAGTTGGTACACTTTATTCTACCACTCTTTCTACTCCCTCTTTTTCTATTCCAGCTACCTAGTTCAGTCCAACTACACTTCTTAACTAGATTACCGTAATAGCCTTCCAAGTGATCACTGTATTCTTCCCCTTGCTCCCTCCAATTCATTTCACACAGTTATTTTTCTAAAGGCTAACGTGTTTGTGTCCCTTTCTTTCTCAATAATCTCCTATTGCCCACACTCAAGTGAGCCAAGGAAGGACAGGAACGCAAGAGTCATGGAGAAAATGGAATTTCTGGGTTATAATATGCTAGGTGGACACCAAAGGAAAAGAAGAACTTAAAAAAGACTTTATGAAGAGGAGGAATGTTTCTTTGAAAAAGGAAGTGGTACAAATAGATGGGTTTCTCCCCTAATATGTAACCTTAGCAATGCAACTAACCTAACAATGTTGGATCTCCCCCAAATGAATTTTAACTTAGAGGTCATGGACTCTGGACAACTGGCAAAGAATGACTGGCATCCTGGCAAGACTGAAACCAAGAGACTCCTTTTTACTATCACATCTTCCCTGTCCTCCCTTTTCCACAAACACGGTATGTCCCTGCTGCGGTCTTTGGTGATGACATCAGTAAGTGATTTGTTTGGGGAACACCATTTGCCTCTAGTAACTGCCCTGGGGCTAAACATGGTGGCTTTGAGTTATGGCTATATTAATTCTGTGTGTTCTGTTGACCTTTTGAATTCATTTTTGTTAAAAAGTAGAACATATACACGTTTGAATAATACACTAAAGAAGCAATCCTACTGAAAGGCAGGTCATGTTTGAACTGATGGAAGAACCCTAACTCTATCCAATCATCTGAAGAAGCATCCCCACCCCCCAGCCTGCCTCCAAAGGGAGAACAGGAGAATAAGAAATAGCAGAGAGAGGACAAAGGGAATTTTCATCTCAGATTCCTGTAGACTTCAACAGGGAATTAATGTAGAATTTAACAGGAGGAGTTCATATCTGGGACATGCTGCTAACACATTAGTTGAAGTATTTTTATGCTATCATGTTGGCTTATTGCATAATTTTTTACTTTTATTACATAACAATACATCTCAACATAACTCAAAATAAGGAGTTCATACTGAACATTTATTAAACACCTATCAGGGTACCATTCCAAGTGCTTTCCGTGTATTAACCTATTTAAACATCCCAACAACACTATAAGGTCAGTACTAGTAATAATCCCATTTTACAGAAGAGGAAGCTAAGGCACAGAGTGGTTTAAGTAATTTGGCTAAAGTCACATAACAAAAATTCTTAACTGTAAGTTTTCAGCTTTGAGTGTACTGTAGCTTTGAACTTAATTCATTTAATTAATAGTCTCTTCTGACCCATTTCAGAGCCTTCTGTGGGCAAACACTGAACTGTCAATGGTCCCAGCTGGAACAATAAGTGCTATCGGAGAAATGGCCTCACCAAGATGAAGCAGGAGATCCTGATGATGGAAATCCCAGAAGATGAACACCCCAATGGGCAACCAGACCAAACTGTTAAGTCTAACAGGTTAAGAAAACCACAAGTCAGGAAGTCTAGAGAGAACTTTCTCTTCCTCTCTCCATGCTTCCCAAAACAGGAATAGTCTCTCTCTTGGACTTACTGAGAAGATAGATATCTATGTGTCTGTCCTCCCAGACCCTCCTCAGAGAAGAGGCCTCTCTCACTGGTGATACTGGGAAATGGACACTGTGCACACACAGCTCTGGGTCTTTAAGCAGTAAGGCCCGGTGGTGAAAAGCATGGTCTCTGAAGCCAAACCGCAGAGTCTGAACCACCATTTGCAAGCTACATAACTTACAGAAAGCTCCTGACCTCTCAGTACCTTCGTCTCTTCATCTGTAAAACTGGGAATAACAATGGTACCTACCTCAGAGTAGAAATGCCACTTAGAAGAGGGCCTAACAGAAAGGAGATGTTCGTTACATGTTAGCTTTTATTATTATTATTTCTCAGACTCTCACAAAAGACCTGCCTCCCACCTTCTTTGTACTCACACCTCTTCTGTGCACCACGCCTACGGACTCAGGCTCTGCCCCCAGGGAGGAAAGTCTGAAATAGCCCATTTCGTCTACTTGGACCTGGGGAAGATAGTTGACTTCAAGGCAAAAGAAATAAGAAGCTTCCACTGAGACTGGGAAGCAAGCCACATGTTCCTACCTAGCTTTACCAGCAAGATAGCTGACATTTAGATCCCTATTTGGCTAATAACACCTGTACTCTTCAATTAGTCTGAACTCCCAGTGAGAGTGTGACTAACTGGTACCTCTAAACCCTCACACTAAAAATGTGTGATACTTGTGCTTTATAAGTCACACAAGTCAAGAAATTGAGGTGACAGGAATATTCCTTAAACGGCAAGAAAAAAACAGACGCCAGAAAGGAAGCACATATAGTTCAAGTGCAGAAGTATATACATCCTTACATAGGCACTAAGTCTTGCCAGTGAAGAAACTTTCTGCACCAGACAGGGGCACAGGTGTATGACACCAATGTATCCTTCTAGAAACGCCAGCAACAAGCTTACTAAAAATAAACCTACAGGGACACAATCAGAATAAAAACAGGTTTAAAGTTATCCCTCCAGGGGCGCCTGGGTGGCTCAGTTGGTTAAGCAGCTGCCTTCAGCTCAGGTCATGATCCTGGAGTCCCAGGATCGAGTCCCGCATCGGGCTCCCTGCTCAGCAGGAAGTCTGCTTCTCCCTCTGACCCTCACCCCTCTTGTGCTCTCTCTCACTCTCTCTCAAATAAATGAATAAAATCTTTAAAAAATAAAAATAAATAAAAAAAATAAAGTTATCCCTCCAGCCGTTTTACTAAAGAAACACACTGTTTTAAGGATCTGAAAAGCTCTAATTAGTTACTGACTCAAGCTAGTCCTTGGGGTAACTGCCCTGAGCCCAGTTGCAGAGGGTCGGGGCGTTTGCAGCCAAACACTTACTACAGAATTCCGCATACTCGGCTGGCAGAAGGAAGGTCTGAGGGAGGATGTGAAAAGCCTTGAACCCATGTGTATGCTGCATTCGAATGATGTTTTTGTACAGTCGGTCTTTCCGGGTTAGTTCATAGGACCTAAAAATCATAAAAGTTTTCCATTTCAGTAAAGTCTGACTCCGAGGTTTTCCTGTGTTATCACATACTACAGAGCTCATAGTTCGGAGCTAGAACATGTACCGAGGACTGGATTACATTAGATCGACCACTTTGTCAACCCCAGAGTTGAGTAATCATTTTCATAAAATGGATTTCTCTGGTCAGATTTATTCACCGAGGTAAAATTGACATACTTTTTAGTGTATAATTCTATGAGTTTGAACAAACATATGCAATTATATAATCACCACCATGAACAGTACCAGCATCCCAAAAAGTTACCTCCAGTCCCTTTGAAGTCAACCCTTCCAATCACCTCCAGGGCCTGGCAAGCATTCATCTGTTTCCTGTGCCTCTAATTTTGCCTTTTCCAGAAAGTCAAGTTCATGGAATCATATATACGTGTCTTTTTGAGACTGGCTCCTTTTCCCGAGACTGGCAACAACTGAGATTCATCCTTGTTGTTGCCTGCATCTGGATTTCACTCCTTTTTAGGGCTCAATAGTAATCCATTGCTTGGATGGACTGCAGTTTCTTTATCCATTTACCAGTTGATGGACATGTAAGCTCTTTCCAGTTTTTGAAGATTATGAATAAAATCACTAAAAGCATTATGTACATTCTTTTGTAAGAACATAAGTTTTTGTGTGGACATAAGTTCTGATCTCTCCAGGAATGAGACTGCCAAGTTCAGTAAGATTGTTTAGTAAGTTCTATTAGTTATCTATTGCTGCATTATAAATTACTGCCAAAACACTACAGCTCAAAATAATGATAAACATTTTCCATCTTATAGTTTCTGTGGGTCAGGAATGTGGGGGTAGCAGGGCTGGGTAGTTTTATCCAAGGGTCTCTCATGAGGCTATAGTCAAGACGCTGACCAGAGCTGTGGTCATCAGGCTCAACTGGGGCTGCAGGACCGACTTGACAAATAGCTCTCTCGCATGGGGCTGGTTGTTGGCAAGAAGCCTCAGTTCCCTCCCATGTGAATTCTTCTGTAAGGCTGACTATCTTTGTGACGTGACAGCTGGTTTCTCCTAGATCAGGTGATTCAAGAGGGAAAGGGAACAAGGAAGGAGCTGCATGTCTTTCATGGCACAGTCTCAGAAGTGACACACGGTCATTTCAGCCACACTCTATTCATTAGAAGTCACAAAGGCTAGCTCACACCCAAGAACACAGAAATTAAGCTCAACTTTTCGAAGGCAATGTCAAGGAATTTGTGAACATGTTTTAACACTAACGCATGTGTAAGTATATATTTAACTTTATAAGCAACTATGACCCAAAGTAGCTGGACCGTTTGGCATTTTCCACTGGCAAAGTTTCCGCATTCCATTGCACTGCATCCTGACCAGCATTTGGTGTTGTCTGGTTTTTCCATTTTGTTTTTAGCCATTCCAATAGGTAGGCAGTAGTACCTCAAGTGTTTTTTTGTTTTTTTAAAGATTTTATTTATTTATTTGAGAGAGAGCAGAAGAGCACAAGCAGTGGGAGCAGCAGAGGGAGAGGGAGAAGCAGGCCCCCTGCCCAGCAGGGAACCCGATGCGGGGCTCGATCCCAGGATCCTGGGATCATGACCTGAGCTGAAGGCAGATGCTTAACCAACTGAGCCACCCAGGCGCCCCAACCTCAAGTGGTTTTATTTCTCATCCCACTACTGACTACTGATGTGGAACATCTTTTCATGTCTATCTTCGTCAGTGAAGTATCTGTTCAAATATTTTTAGGCTATTTTGAAAAAAAAAAGGGGGCTATTTATTATTGAGTTTGAGAGTTCACTATACATTCTGGATACAAATTCCTTATGAGATATGTGTTTTGCAAATATCTTCTCCCAGTCTGTGGCTTTTCATTTTCTTAACAATGTCTTTCAAAGAGCAGACATTTTAAATCTTGAGGAAATCCAGTTTATCAACATTTTTCTCCTATGGATTGTGCATTTATTGTTATGTCTAAGAAATCTTTACTAAATCCAAGCACATAAAGATTTCCTCCTATGTTTTCTTCTAGAATTTTTACATTTTATACATATTTAAATCTGATTCTTTTTGCCAAATGGGTTTTATGAGTATAAAATCTATTTTAAAACAAACTTCAAATATAAACAAGCAAAAAAGACAGTGTTCTAAGTTTGACTTTTGATAAATATATTAAAATTTTCTAGGTCCAAAAACCAAATACATCAAATAAATTCTAGCTTCATCAGCAGCCTGTGACTATTCACTACTAAAAATCATTATGAAACATTTTAGGAACACTACATGTTGTATGTTAGTTGAATCACAATTCTTTAATAGTACAAAAAAAATCTAGATTACCCAAATAATGAAAAAACATTAGTACCCCCACTAACAAGTTCTAAACCCAAAGCATTCTGGGAATGTTTACACAAAGATATCTAGAGGACGTGACCTTCTGAGAAACATGGCCTGAGCAAAGGTTAGCATACTTGAAAACAGTACCATTTAGGAAAATAAAAGATGTGGCAACCTTACCCATATTTAACAGCAATAATTGCCCAACCTCTCATATAACTATATGGAACTCGCATCATCATTAGTAAAACAAGTACCAAGGGTCTGATATGTTTCTCCTACATAGCATCCAAGATAGACCTTCATTTTAGACTACAATGGGCCTACTGGAGTAAAGTCCCAGGTCACTAGGTTAAGAATCCCACTGACAACTAAATTTACATCATTAGAAGACGGATACGTAAAAGATAAAATTTTAAAGAAAAGCCAAGGAAATGATCACCATAAACTTCAGGCGGTAACTGCCACCTATCAGGCTGTATGTTCTGGAGTACTACAAACAGGCACTTCAGTTAGCCGCAACTGGACTCATGAGTTCCACTATTGGTTTCTAGTCACTATGGTTTGTTCCACTATTTAAAAACCATCTAAGGGGCGCCTGGGTGGCTCAGTCGTTAAGCGTCTGCCTTCAGCTCAGGTCATGATCCTGGGGTCCTGGGATCAAGCCTCACGTCGGGCTCCCTGCTTGGCGGGAAGCCTGCTTCTCCTTCTCCCACTCCCCCTGCTTGTGTTCCCTCTCTCGCTGTGGCTCTGTCAAATAAATAAAATCTTTAAAAATAAATAAACAAACAAATAAATAAAACCATCTAAGAATCTTTGCTGTAACCACTAAAACCTTACTGTGTCTATACCTCTGTTCTAATTTTTCACTATGATTTCTTAAATTCAAAGGTAGCTTTGACAAGTCTAGGTATCACAAACTCACTGTCCTCTTCATAAATGTAGAGCAGAGGTCCTTAAATTTTAGATAAGAATCATCTGGAAAGTTTAAAATTATTGTTCCTCGGCCCCATCTCTCAAAAGTCTGGAATAGTCTAGGATTCTGCATTTTATACAAGTGTCCCAGGTGATTTTGGTACAGATGGTCCACACTATAATGTTGATTTAGCCTAGAATAGTAATTTCCAAACTTCCCAGATATAAATCACCCTAGTGCTTTTTAAATATATAGCTTTCTAGGCATATACTGACCTAGGAAGATTAAGCACCTAGAAGGTACTTTCTATTTTTTTATTATGTTCAGTTAGCCAACATATAGTATTGATATAGTATTCGATTCATTAGTTGCATATAACACCTAGTGCTCATCACAACACGTGCCCTCCTTGATACCCATCACCCAGGAGAAGGTACTTTTTAAATATGCACCTTTTTAAATATACACCTTGAATCTGCAATGGGATCTGTGATTGTATATTTTTAAAAAGGATCCCCAGTGATGTTTATCATCAGTTAGAAATAATGACGAGAGGACAAGAAAAAGGATGCATTCTCCTATAGATGCCCAATCCTAGTGGTCTCCAAATGCTTTTGCTTGATGCTCCCTATGCAAATTTTGGGAAACTATGTATCTTTTAATTGACACCTAAGATTCTTCATCAAAAATTTAAATTGGGGCATCTGGGTGGCTCAGGCAGTTAAGCGTCTGCCTTCATCTCAGGTCATGATCCCAGGGTCCTGGGACTGAGTCCCACATTGGGCTCCCTGCTCAGCAGGAAGTCTGCTCCTCCCTCTCCCACTCCCCCTGCTTGTGTTCTCCCTTGCTCATTCTCTCTCTCAAATAAAATCTTAAAAAAAAAAAAAAACAACTTAAATTGTCCCAAATGAGCCAATGAATGATAAATATTATTTTAAAATAAAACCCTAACACTACCCTTTTAAGTATATTCCAGGGAACCTAAATAACATCAGGATTCAACAGCCAGCATACATTTTAAAAATATTATCAAAGAGAAAGCTCTTTTCTGTCAATACCTTTTTCACTTTATATAATACACTTTTTACTGAAGGTAATATATATGCAAAAAAGTATACAAATCACAAATGCAAAGCATGATGAATTTGGTCACCTGCGTGAGCACCCCAAAAGCCTCCTTTATACTCCCACGCAGGAATCATCTCCCAATCACCCTTGCTTTTACTTATTCCATGCCATTTCCCCCAAAGAATGGTTTAGCCTCATAGAACATATTTAATGCTTGCAGGTCTTTTATATCATAGCATACCTTCTCTATAATAAAATATGCATGTCAATTAATATGCATTATTTTCAAATTTCCTGGGATCATTCGGCTATAAACTACTTATGCTGGACTGACTATCATTGCAACTATTGTAGTACACAATTCATCAAAACACCATAAATATGATAAATTTTGATTAAAATGTATGTTATACCAATGTTAAAGTCTCCATTTTGATAATTATGCCACGGTTATAACTGATGTTAATGTCAGAACAAGGTAAAAGATAGAGTAACTATAATATTTTTGCAACTTTTCTAGCAGTCTAAAATTACTTAAAATAAAAAGTTAAAAAATCGTATTAAGAAAGAGTTGACGGGGCGCCTGGATGGCTCAGTCGTTAAGCATCTGCCTTTGGCTCAGGTCATGCTCCCAGGGTCCTGGGATCGAGCCCTGCATTGGGCTTCCTGCTCCACAGGAAGCCTGCTTCTCCCTCCCCCCTCCCCCTGTTTGTGTTCCCTCTCTCGCTGTGTCTCTCTCTGTCAAATAAATAAATAAAAAATCTTATTAAAAAAAAAAGAGTTGACAATCATATTGGAAATGTTTGAAGTTCTTGAATTCCTCTTGCATGTGAGTTCAAGTCTTTGGATGCAAACAGGAGAAACATAGCAGAAGCCACGAGACACAGTGCACCTAAATAACGGGTTGTTAATGTGCTCAAACACGCAAGGGTAGTACATTCAAGCAGCACTCAAGAAAAGATAGGATCAAATTTATTAATACTGATGAGTCTAAACTGAGAGAGAACTCCTATATACCTACGGGAGTATTTCAGAAACTATTAAAATAAAGAATATACTACTAACATGAATTTGGAATGCAGACTCTAGTGTGGGCTATTTCAAGGACTCTTTAAATGCCTGTTGAAAATAGATGCATCTGATTCACTTCAATCATCGAGTCACACATTTAGAATACCAAATTCACATCTTCCAGACGATGAGGGAGAAAATAAGGTTTAAATTGGTTTAAATTAAACTGGTTTAAATTAAAATAAGGTTTAAAAATCTCTGCAAATGAAGCTGAGACATCAAATAAAACTGGAACTTGTTATGAAGACTCAAAACAAACATTTATCCCAAATTATGAAGAAACTATTTGACACAGGCCAGGTACTTACACATGGTGATGAGATATAAGACAACAGAATTGAAAAATCAAGAAAGAAACTTCATTAGATAAAAATGAGAAAAGCATATAAGGTAACTGAAAATAAAACCTGTTAGCCTAAGTACATAAGAATATTATGTAGGACATAAGTCCTGGAAATAAAATAAAACATAACCACTGACCAAATAAAAAAATTTGTACTGGACTTCCTTCTCTTCATCAGATGAGTTGGTCATCTATCTATCTATCTCTCCATGGTTGAGTATGACTGCCAGAATAAGGTAGCGTTTCAGCATCAATTTTATTCCTATTTTCTTTTTCATGGATGAAAATACTAAGAAACTCTGGTCACAAAAACAGTAGCTAAGACTTCTACAGTGTTTACTATGTGACAGGCACGCACTGTTCTAAACATCTTAGATCCTGATAGATTAAACCCTCACAACAGTCCCATGAAGTCTGTGTCATTGGCAACATCTTTTTACCAACGAGGAAACTGATGCTCAGAAAGGTCATGTTTGGTGGTCACTCAGCAGAGCTGGGATCTGGGCCCAGGTAATTGATTACAGAGCCTATGCTTCTGGCCACTAGGCAGCATTGCCTCTCTAGGCTGCCGTTAACAATGTGATTGCAAGGAGTTTTCTATCACAATGACACTCAAGTCTTTGAACAGCTTCCTAGTTCTGTGTCAGAAAGTCACAAGATGATCTATCACTAAAAATTAAAATTAATAGTCTATCAGCTGACAACCTGATTATGTCCTCCTCTAGTTCCATTAAAAGTAAAGAAATGGAAATCACCACCATGACTGTCCTGTCTGGTAATTTGTCATTACCAGAATTCAATTCAACATCTTTTTTTTTTTTTTTTTTGGTACTTTTGTTTAGAACCCTGGAAATGTTTGCACCCAAGGACAATGCACCATATTAAGATTCTAAAGGGCCACTGTTTTATAAAGGGGAAAATAGTAACTGTGAAAAAAGGAGGTGAGAAGGGAGAACCCATCCATATGAAGGGCTCTCAAGCTGCTCAATTTTAAGAAAGAGAACCTACGGTATTTGCAATCCAGAAACAGTCTCCTTTAGGACCATCCATGTCTACACAGTCCTTGGAGAGGCTTCATATAATATATGCTTATGGACGTGAACACCTCAGTTTGATTTGCAGACTGCTGCCCTATATCACAGACTTCTTTTTTTAAGGACATTAATTATCTCTGCTGGCTACATGCCCAATGTCAGGCACCTTTAAATGGAGCAAAGTAGCTACAAGAGCATTACCTGGGAAAGTGATTAACCTTTTGTGCTTCAGAGAGGGTGCGAAGTAAGAAGGGCTTCAGGTGGGATCCTGTCCACATTAGGTTATAGTCAGTGCTGCTTGGGTGAACCTGAGGGCAGATAAAAAGATTAAAAAAACATCAGAGATAGCCCCTCTCGAAAAAGAGAGACGGCAAGAAAAGCCATAGAGATTTTTCACCTACATAGCACAGTGGGTGTCCAGTTAGTATGTAAGCCTAATAAAATAAAAACTGAGTATAAAGAACACGGGGATGATCAAGTATAAACAATGGGACAGTTGGGGAAATCCCAGATGCAAAAAGTAGAATAAATGAATCCTTCTATAGAAGTCTGTGATGTCTCTTAACATTCTTGCATATCAAAGTATGAGAAGAGGATTCAACCCCACAACTCCCTTCTCAGAGTGTCCTTATGTCCCTGCAGATGATGGGTATAAAGTCTTGATCAAAACTAAAACCTTGTGGTAGCAAACTAACTTAGAATATCATCCCTCCATTCATTCATTCATACATTCATAACATTGATTTGTCTATTCATTCAACAATTACGTACTTGGTGCCTATCATGGGATACGTACCATGTTAGGCCCTGGAGATAAAACAGCAAGACAGGATATAAACTAGTATCAGAACGTCCTCAAAATGTCTATTTCAAACCTCAACCTAAGATAAGGAGCTAGCAACCAGACTTTTATTAATTATTTCAAAATATCTACAGGGTAAGTCTGCCCAGCATTTTTGCCTGTCCCTTTGATATCAATATCCCAATTTCCCCAATTTTCTTTGGGAATAACATACTACTTGGTTTTAAAAGACTGCCAGTCACACTACCCACCCCACCCCTTGCAAGGAGTGGATCCATGACCCAAGCTGGACCAGTCATACTATCTCCAGAATGTGATTCTTCAGTGAAGAAAGGCACAAGGACAATGAATGGAGTTGAGTCACTTCTATAGGAGTGCCTTGAGGAGACAGTCCTGATTCCTGTTCCCAGATCCCCAAGACTGTCCCAGGCTCTCTCTTTCCAAAGGCCTGCCTTTTCAACCCTTCCTCTGATTCTGCTACCTACGCTATGTATAACTTACCCACAAATTGTTTTTGGTTTAAGTAGGCAGAATCTGTTTGTGTTGCTTGCAATCAAAGAATCTTAATTAGGTATCAGACAATTCCTTATGGGCAACTCTGTCTCTACCCCAACCCTAAAATCATAGCAAGAAAAATGTGTGGGGTTTTTTTGTTTAAAAGAGAGAAAGAAGGGCGCCTGGGTGGCTCAGTTGGTTAAGCGACTGCCTTCGGCTCAGGTCATGATCCTGGAGTCCCGGGATCGAGTCCCACATCGGGCTCCCTGCTCAGCAGGGAGTCTGCTTCTCCCTCTGACCCTCCTCCCTCTCATGCTCTCTGTCTCTCATTCTCTCTCTCACAAATAAATAAAATCTTAAAAAAAAAAAAAAAAAAAGAGCGAGAAAGAAGAGAGAGAGAGGGAGGGAGAGAGAGAGAGAGAAATCCTGTGAAAATGTTTTCTATGTATTTCAAGGAGAAACTGATAAAGCTACTCAAAAATTCAATGCAAGCTCTGCATTATCACTAAGCATAGGTCCCATGTACCTTCTAGAGCTGCCCTGTTAACTGGTAGTCAGGTGGCTAGGATTTTCAGCTTTAGAGCAGACCAGGTGAGATAGTAAAAATGAGCTTACTTCATGAAATCCATGGGCTGTCAGAATGCTGCGTACCAGGCGACTATCTGTTCGCACAATTTTGTAAGACAAATGATAACGTTCTAAAGAAAAACACAGAATCAAATTCAGTAACCAGAAAGTTAACTGTAGAGACAAACCTAAAGTGTACAATGGTGGCTTGCTTAATGATACTCGATAACATATACTGCTCCCCTTATGCTACTATAAGCAGGCTGCAGATTACTTTGGGCCAAGGGTTCTTAACCTGAGATTCACTGGGGGTTACGACATCTGGATGGGGGACAAAATGACATCTGTTTTCACTTCTAGTTGACATTTAACATTACATTCAATTACGAAAGTAGGCACAAAGCAGAGCAGTGCTAGCAATGCCTGTGACCCCGCCACCTGTACATGCCAGGTATTTTAATATTATTTTACTGTTGTTACAGTTATCTCAAAATATCACTTCTCACGACATTTAAAAGTTATGGCTAGTGAACACACCTTCCACTAGATCATGTTCTATAATGCACAAATAAAAATGCATATATGTCACAAACTTAGTTTTTAAGAAATATTTTGATAATTCTGTTTCAATACAATTGATTTTGTTTATAAGCCTATATATTTCCTTATACACTTAAAACACATTATTTGAAGAACAGACCCACAGGCTTCCCCACACCGCCATTGCACATTTGGTCCACTGCAGAAAAAGGCTAAGAACCCTTGCTCTAAATAGCCCTCTGTGTTCAGTGATGCTGGTTACCAGTGATTCTTTTTTTTTTCTTTTAAGACTCCTTTTTTTTTTTTTTTAAAGATTTTATTTACTTATTTATTTGAGAGACAGAGAAATAGCATGAGAGGGGAGCACAAGTGCTCCCTTCAGGACAGGCTCCCGTGCTCTAGTTCAGCACAGTCCCCGCACCGTGCTTCACCCACTCACGTTTCCTGCCAGGTCCTGTAAGCATAGTCACCTCTGCCTAAGACAAAAGTCTGTAATCATGTGAGATTTCTATATATCCCCAAAGACTAACATTTAGTCTGGCCCATGAAAGGCAATCTCTTTCTATGCATCCCTACAAATTGTTTGAGAAAATTAGCTAAAAATTCTACAGAACAATTATTTTTAAAGATTTTTTTAAAGACTTTATTTATTTGAGAGAGAGCGCGTGCCTGCGCAGGAGCACGAGGGTGGGGGGGGAGAGGCAGAGGAAGAGGGAGAAGCAGACTCCCCACTGCGCGGGGAACCCAACGCGGAGCTATATCCCAGGACTCCAAGACCATGACCTGAGCAGAAGGCAAACGCCCAACTGACTGAGCCACCCAGGTGCCCCTAAATTTTTTTTTAATTAAGTAATCTCTGTGCCCAATGTGGGGCTCAAACTCACGATCCTGAGATCAAGAGTCACATGCTCCACTGACTGAGCCAGCCAGGCGCCCCATCTGCAGAATAATTTTTTTAAAGGACCGCATATTGAATACTTTCTGAATAAGAATAATACAGAAACTTATGAACAGGCCTTAGAACAAAATTCAGCCTCTACAGTCAAAGAGAAGCACACCTTTTTATGAATTTATGTGAAAATATCCATAAATCCCTGTTGCTACTTGCCCAGTCCTGGCAGGAACACCATGCAAAGCAGACACAGAAAGATTGGAATGAAAAGGCCAGACACTCCATATTTCTCATTCTTGTGGCAAACTTCTAAAGTCCAGTTACAGGGTTTCCCCAATAATCAATCACTATTATGTTGCCTTTGCAATACTGTTGTAAGAAAAAAACAGTTCAGGATCCTAGGTGTTTGCTTCGGCCCAGAGTAGAATGTAAGAAACAGTGCACTGCTTAAGAGTTGGTGTTCTGACTCCAAGGTGGGGAGGGAAAGCACAAGATAGGCCTGCAATATTTTGTTCTGCCAAAAAAGAAGAAAGTGCTCACTTTCTGGATAGGGAACCTGTCACAAAGATCTCAGTGGCCAAATTTAAGACAATTTCAACATAAACATGAATATGACAGAGAGACTATAACGCCCTTACTAATGAGTCCACACACTGATAAGAAGGTAAGAAGGTACAATGGTTTTCTATCGCTGCTAAAATAAACTACCACACACTTAGCGCCTTAACCAACACAAATTCATTGTCTGATTATTTCTGTAGGTCAGGAGTCTGACCCAGATGTCATCAAGGCAAGAGCAGGGCTGCATTCTTTTCTATAGGCTCTTTTCCTTTTTCAGCTTCTAGAGGCTGCCCTCAATCCATGGCTTATTGTCTCCTTCCTCTATTTTCAAAGCCAGCAACAGTGGGTCTAGTCCTTCTCTCATAGCATCCATCTGACTCCTCGTCTGCCTCCTTCTACTTTATTTTTTTTTTAAGATTTTATTTATTTATCTGACAGAGAGAGAGAGAGCGTGCACAAGCAGGGGGAGCGGCAGGGAGAGGGAGAAGCAGGCCCCCTGCTGAACAGGGAGCCCGATGGGGGACTTGATCCCAGGACCCTAGGATCATGACCTGAGCAGAAGGCAGACACTTAACCGACTGAGCCACCCAGGTGCCCTGCCTCCTCCTACTTTAAAGGACCCTTGTGATTAAGGTTAGCTGATTAGCAACCTTAATTCCACCTACAACCTCAATTTTCCATTGCCATGTCAGGTAACATTTTCACAGGTTCTGGGGATTAGAAGGTAGACATCTTGGCGAGGACCATTATTCTGCCTCCTATAGAAGGGAAAGCTCTTATTTACAGAAAATCCAGCTAATAAATGTAGAAGGAAAGAAAAAGAAAATCAGCATTTTACAAAAATTGTAAAAGTTCAGACTAAAGTTCATTTTAGTTCAGACTAAAATCAATTGATACCAATGAGTGAGAGACTACTGGGAAACAGAATATTCATGCATCTCCAAACATCTTTCCAGAGAATGCTTGTAACAAAGGAGAAAGGCACCCCTCCGATGAAGCAATCTGGTGAACATTATCTCAATGAGAAATCTGCCATCACCAATAACGCAATATAATAATATCACATCCTTCCTAATGTGATACACTGAGGACACAACTGCACTAAGTGATAGTCTTACAAAATTTTTAAACCTGAATCTAAACACATAGAAACAATCAGACACGCCCAAACTTAAGGACATCTGCAAAGCAACTAGTCTTGAAATCTCTAAAAATGTCAGTGCCATGAAAGACACACGCAGACACACACAAAGTCTGGGAAATTAGAAGAGAAATACGAAAACTATATACAATCTTTGATTTAGTCTTAGATTTTAGAAAAATAATAACAGCTATAAAGGTCAAAACTGGAACAATTGGGGAAATGTGCATAAGCACCATATACTAGAGTATTTTACCAATGGCAGACCTTTTGAGTGTCATCTCAGTACTGTGGTTATACAGAGGATGCCCTTGTGCTTAGGTGACACTGCTGAATAAAGCATTAAGGTACAAAGTATTTGAACTAATTCTCAAATGACAAGAAACAAGACAAAACATTAACAGCTGGTGAGCACAGGGAAAGAGTATACATCCATTCAACGAAAGTACTATTCTTAGAGCTTGTCAAAAGGTTTTTAATTTTTTTAGATTGAATGTTTAGGAAGTGAAAGAAAGTCAGGTCTCTTCATTATGATAACTGTGATCACCGACATATCCATTTCTGTACAGGTAAAAGCCAAAGCATCATCCATGCTGGAGACCAGAAGTGTGCCTGATTCCACGCCTGTTCTGCAACGCTCGCCTCACAGTACCAGGCCCTGGGGAAGGGAGTCACTAAGGCATGCAGAAAAACAGAGAATGATTAGCCGGGGACTAGGGAGGAAGGGGAAATGATAAGTGGAACTGCCAAGGGCTCAAATCCAGGCTCTACCACTTCCTGCCTGTAATCGTGAGTAAATTATTTCTCTATGGTCAATTTCCCCCCCTTGTCAAATGGTGTTGATAATAAAGGTACTTACCTCATGGGGTAGTTGTAAGCACTACATCAGTTAATATGCGTATAACTTTTAGAACACTTGTTGCTACATAGTAAAAATTTTTTTCTTTTTTTATTTAAATTAGCCAACATATAGTACATCCTTAGTCTCAGGTATAGTGCTCAATGATTCATTAGTTGCATATAACGCCCAGTGCTCATAGTAAAAAATTTTTTAAAAAATATTAAAAATTGTAAAAAAAAAAAAAAAGTAAAAACAAAAATGCTATTAATACTCTTTCTCCTACTTTTCCTAACATAGAAGAAAAATGCAATCATCACTACACTCAGTGACACAATACTCACAGTGTGTAAGTCGTAAGCAGTGACCAACTGCTTCTAATCCATACCAACTAACTATAACCCAACTCTGATACACTGTGCATGTTCCAAAAGGGGAGTGCAAGAAAGACAGGGTGGAATGACATAAATCAAGTGTGATTGCTGGGGATTTTAACTCACATTCATATTCTGTGTCCAACAGCCCTGTGTCCAATAATGCTGATAACCAGTTATAAACTGGTGACCCAAGGGCCAAATCCAGCCTGCAGACATGGTTTGTTCATTCTTTGTGGTGTTTTAAACATAAAACTGAATTAGTCGCTAATCTTTTAAAATTGAAAGAATTCATATAAAAATCTCAATTTCTGGGCTTCACTTGAAAGACCTGGCAACCCTGGGCTCTGCTCCCATGGCAAGAGTCAAATGGAGGCTTGCAACTATAAACTGAACCAGTCCCACTGCCCAAGAAATAACCACCTTATCCGTACTTCCTTCCATATAAAAACAAGAAGCAGGGCGTGGTATTGGTCCGACTAGCAAACTGCCAAACATCTGCTATCTGAGCCTCTGAACATGCACTGCATCCATTCTACCATGAGACTACAGAATTTCCTCTTCTCCAACCACTCCTGTGTGCATCAGGAGGCAACCTAAAGTGCTAGGACTTCTGGCAAATTCCAGGACTGGCAGCAACAGAGCAAATTAAAACAAGAAACCAATACTCTGTCAGCACAGAAGCACCTAGGGAGTGATGACATGCCCTAAGAGGTTTGGACAAAAATAGCCTGGGAAACTAGAATGAAGATAAAACGGACTTTTTTTTTTCTACTTTTAGAATA